TCAAGCATCTTCTGGCCAGCCGTTCCGCTTCCTGTGAAGGAGACCTGCAATAGTCTGCAATGAAATCTAAAATCTGCACATCTGAAATCTGTTGGCTTCACAACCCACCAAGCCTTGTCCAACATGTGATGATCAATGAGATACTGCCCTGAACTGCCTCCACCTGGCTGTTGTTGCCAAGCACGTGGCAACACTATAGTATTCAAGATGTTCCAACAGCTTCATTCAAGGCCTTCCAAGGCTTCTGGTGGGCCGCCGGTGATGACATTCAAAGCTCCTGCAAGAACGTGTTTGCACCAATTTGAAAAGGCAGATGCGGCAGATCATTCAAAGGCCGCCAAAAAATGCCAAAAAATGTATTGTACATGGTGCAAACATGTGCAAACCTTCCGCTTTTGGTACTCTGCGTTACCCTGCGTTACCCTGCGTTACTCTGCAGCTATGCCTCTCCCAGGCTCCCAGGCCCACCTGGTGGTGCACCAGCTGCTGCCACCAACTCCCCCAAGGCGCAACACGTCAAGGACGCCAGGGGCGATGGCTTCAGCACCACGCTGCAGCCGGCAGCCAAGGCTGGTGCCACCTTGAGCACCTCAGGTCTCGGCATCGGCCCTGTTCACATCAACCAACTATTTGGGGATATAATGGGGATATAACATGATATAACTGCTGGGCAAAACCGATGATTCATATACAGTATATCATACATCAATAATCATCAATATCTTGATATGTGTTTAAAACCCTGCAGACTGCAGAAGTCTGTGCACAGAACCTTAGCCCTTGAAATTGCGGAAAAAAATGAACAAAAGTAGAGAGGCAGTCGGCAGAGGAGAAACGAATTAAGAATGTGTGAAACATCAATATGTTGATATATATATATATATTAATTATATATATATTATATTATGTACTTAATTGCAATTATAATATTATATATACAATTATATATAATATATTATACAGTACACGTGTATGTGTGTGAGTGCAAATCATTCGTAGAGCTGCAAGTCAAAACCAATTGTAGATGTGATCAAACAGATCGAAACAGCTCGAATCCATAGGGTTCCCTGCAGCCTGCATCAAAGGAAAGTTCCAGGGAGTGATACACCTCAGCGAGATGCACTTCCATGGCAAAAGCTACCAGGAGGAATGCTGAGGCAATGACCCAATGACACCCAGGGGCTCACTCTCTATCCTGATGCATGGAGACGGATGATTCCAAGGAGTTTCGAACACTTGACGGATGTTGACACCATGAGAGGTCACCCATCAAAGCAGGGCAGAAAATTGTTGGTTGTGCACGGCAACTGTGTTGTTTGTTCGAGTATTTTGATGTCCCAGACTCGGGTTTCTGCCTGGGTTTACATGAGCGGTTCGGTGTGTTGAAAAGTGCTAGAGGCGCGTCCAATTCTTGAGTAACTTGCAGTCTGCTGAACAAAATGATAACTTAGCAGAGCAGGGGAAGCCTTGTGCAAAAAGTTGCTTTCGCATGTGTTTTAATGCGAGGATAAAATGCTGCACTTGATGCATAGGAAGTGTGATAGTACGCACCCCACCTCACTCTACCCCAAAACCCCTGTGCAAACACGTAACAACAGGCAACACTACCAAGAAGTGGCACCAAGCAAAGTCAGGACCGAGATCTTTTCAAAATTCCCAAAACATCTCTGCCTCGCATAGAATTCGGCTGTACCAGTTGAAGGGTGGCTCGTCTTCATAATCTTCGGAGCCATCTCTGCGTAGTAGTCAAAGGTGTCTGCACAAACACCCAAATCTCCTTGACCTTGGAGCACAAATTGGGCGTCGACCACGCCCGGACCCGGACCTAGACACCCTGTAGACCCTGTGGACCCTGTGGACCCCGCTTTCAGAGAAGGGCTTCCCGCAGTCTCGGCTCTCTATCACCTGGACCCAAAATAGATCAAAATAGTGCTCCCAACCGACAGTTGTACTGAGGATCTAGCACAGAGTGCGTCAGAAACCTGCGTCAGCAACCAACTGCCCAAGTCCTCTATGTCAGTCCAAATGGAAGAAAGGTGGCTTTTGGATTTCAGAAATTGTTAGGACACGGACACCCCTCTATTCAGCTTCAAAACGTAAATCCTTATCAACAAAAAGTATCAAAAAGTCGTAAGGAAGCTCAATGCTGGAGGGATTTCAGAATGTTCAGGGGTGCGCACAATACTTCTGATAATACTTGGATTGACTTGGATAACAGCATGTACATTATATTATGGAATATTCAAAGTACAAGTCATACTGTCATAATTCCTTCATAGTTTCACGTGTTCTTCGTTGCCTGTTTTCTGGTCTTTGTTCCTCCTTTGTTTTCCTTTTCCCTTTTTCCCTTTGTCTTTTCTCCTGTCCATGTTGAACTTTGCATGATTAAATTATATTGAATTTCTATCTCTATCTACTTGTGCCCTTGAGAGTAAGATTCCAAAAGATCCACAATTGGGTTTTCGAACTTCGGTCTTTTGGAATCGTTTTTTGTGGAGTTGCATTTTGGAAATCCAAGAAATCAAAGAGCTGCTTGGAGCTTTGCTTGCTGTGCTTGCTGTGACAGCTGTGCCAAGTGTCTACTATGCTACATTCGGTATGTCCATTTGAAAATATCTGAGTCTCTCTAGTGAGTTTCTATTCTTTAAAAGCTGTCCCAATATCTATCTGAGATGCTTGTGTATATTGTCTTCAATGATTTCTGGCCTTCAGAAGTCTCTGTTAGGCCTTTGAATAAGCAGTGAGCTACATCACCACTAGAGATCACCTCCACTTGTTGCAAGATGTTGCAAGATATGAAGACCCGACCTCTGGCTTCCTCAGAGACTCCGCGATGCGCTTCAGGATCTCTGCCCTTGCCTCCCGGATCCGGCGTCACCATGAGGATGACGAGGATGACGATGGATGATGATGGATGATGATGGATGACGATGGTAGTGGGCCAGGGAAACCGAAAAGGTGGTTGATCATGAAACACGAAACGCTGCCATATCTGATATAGCATGAGGCGCCGAGGAAGTTTCGCAGAGCCCAACAATGTAAAGGCATGACTGCCCGTGACCAGTATCAGCAACAAATGATTGAAAGGAGTTGTGTTTGATGTCCATGATGTCCGCTGTGCTCTTTTGAGGGTCTCGAATACACCTCAATGCTTTTCGGGTTGGCCTTGACATCCTGTTGGGGCCAGCCATCGTTGTCGAAGCATCGCCTGCCGCGACTGCTGGGAATGCAAACAAAAGTAGATTGCAGTGTTATACAAGTTATTTCCACAAGTCGGAGAGTCAGGAGAATATACTGTCCATTTCTCATCCATGTCCACCTTCTCTGCTTCTGATTCTGTTTTCCAGCCTTGCAGATTGCACTGCTCTATCAACATCCCCGGCGGACGCGTGTGCAATACTCGCCTCATGCGGGGAGGGCATTGACCCCATTGCAGGATGACAAGTCGACACGGGAAAATACACCTCCAGAATGCTTGTATTATCTTGTATTTATCTTTGATGTCCTGAAATCCAGCGATCTGCGAGAAACCAATGCAAGTCTCAGTTCCAGGAACAATGTGAAGAGAGCTGTATGTTTCTCTCTCTCTCTCTTTTTCAAGGCATGCCAACCAAGTCGGCGACAAAAGGCTTACCATCTCTGGGTGAAAGCACAGGTAGTCGGCCAGCTTCTGCCTGCAGGAGTTTCACAAGAAGATTAAATCAAAACCCATTGCAAGATGTCCCCAACGAACCCGTTTCAGTTGTTTCGGATTTCCTTTGGCAGGTGCTCTGCTCTCTTGTCAATTTTGACTTCACAACATGTTTCAGTCTCAGTCAAGGTATCATCGTCTTCGTGAACGCCTCTACATATTGGTTGTCGATGAAGAGGCGGCTTGTTCGAGAGATGATTTCATCAGCTTTGGCGATGGCCTGTCAGAAGATGCTCATGACTCACCAATCACAGTTTTTACATGCTCCCCATGCCTCCTGCGGTGCAGCCAGTTCACTGAACGACCTCCAGCTACACAAGCAGTTATTCTTGTGGAAAGTCTGAGTCTTGATGGCAATCTACAGAAGGTCCTTCGAGCCTGGAGAGAGCCCTGCATCTGACAAGCGGAAGCGATGGCAGAGTACGCAGCATCTCTGCTGGGAGCAAATACTTGTTGCTCAAAAGGTAGCAAAAGCTGGATCTGCCTACTAAGTTTCTTTCTGTTTCTTTCTGATCTTTAAGTAGGCTCCAAGACTCATGTATGTTCCTTCATTCGTTCAAATCTGAAACATCACTTTTTAGGAGTACTCTAGTTGTCATGACTTTCTCGGTTTGGTGCAATGCTTGGGTTGTTGTGTTGATTCGTTATGTCCTGATTGATCCGGCAAAGCTTATAGGAATGGCAAATCAAAACACCCCAAGGAGAATTCCCAAGAGTCTGAAGTTGCTACCAAATGCAGCTCCCAGCTTCGAAACACCAAATGTTGAGCTGTTGACTTTCCTGCCGGACTCGGCCACGCACAACCATTAGTTGTTCAGCTCATCTTTTTGCTGCTCTCAGCTGATTCAATCCGAGCAATCCAAATCTGGGGCCTGCAAGGATGCAAAAGGGGTCTGTGGCACATGTGCTGCTCCACCCCTTGCAAGGACGCTTGCTGATGCCCTCTTTCCTTGCAAGGCAGGAGGATCCAAGCTGTAAGTCCGAACCAGCGGACAAAGCAACACATCACCTGGAAGCAAGGCAGGAAATTGGCTGCAAATCAAACGTCATCAAACACCCATCTGAACAGCTTCTGTCCCACTCGCCCTGCCATATGCTGCCATGCCCTGCCTTACCCAATTTTTTTCGCTGTCCAAGTGGCGGATGCAAATCTTGGCGGGGTTCACTTTATCGACTGCCTCTGAGCTGTTCTTCAACTGCTCGGTCTTCTTTCACGACTCTTCAGGGTGGCTGCCACAATCCCCGCTGCATAAGCTTTGTCGAAGCTTTCGCGTACCACTTGCCCCACATCACGCACACCTGGGAGGGTAGGGTCGCAATATGTGGCAACAGTTAGGATATATCACTCCTTTCGGAACAGAATGCTGCTGTCCACTGCGCAAGACGAAGAAGAAGCTGCGCAAGGCCACTCAAGCCTCACGGTGGCAAAGCTGCTGGCCACATAATGCTGCAAAGCACACAAGGCACCCGACCCACACCGTGCCATTAATTAGCAGCTGGCCAAAAAACGGTAATAGCGTTGCTCGGCACCATTCGCTCGTAGAGAATCATGTTGCAAGCGCCTGCTTTTCAGCTGCCTCAGAAAAATATCTACGAGGAAGCACGCCATATGTACATTCAAACTCCAAAGTCAGTGAACATGCTGAACCAACCAAATCAAATTGTACAAAAACCATCAAAAACCCAGAAACATCTGGTGAATCTAATGAACGTTGCATGTCTTAATGGATTCACTAGATATAGTGATATAGTCTATAGTGGCTTCCAGTTGCAAATTCCAGCCACTAGAATCCTACAATTCTCCTCCAAGACGATTCCATCCCAGCAGAAAAAAAGGCCAATCGAAAGGCTATAAAGAAGGGGCCTGCTGCGGAGGACTTCTCCAACTCAGCCAGTGCCATGGCCAGTTCGATGGCGGGTGCCCACCCTCAACCGTGGGACGTCTGGAATGAGCCGCTGCTCCCGCGCCTTGTTGCGATATCCCTTGGGCTGTGTAGGACCAAGGTTGGTGGGCCGTGGGCCTCATGCTACCCACCACGTCACCTGTGGCTGAGCGCTGGGTGGCAGCTGCCCACTAAATCCACCAATCCACCAAATTCTGAAAGACTTGGCGGACCCGCATGTTGCATGAAAGTCGCATCGGCCAAGTGGTTCACATTCTCTTTTTAGTATGGCATGAAGGCATTGAAACTTGGCTCACCATACACAGCTTCTCGCCCATTGCCCATGCCACTAGTTGCATTCCTCACTCTATCCGCACCGGCTGATCCGCCGCCTTTACCATGAGATACAACACCAAGCCGCTCAATGGTGGCAGCAGCTGCGGCAGCTGCTTCAGCTGCCGGGTTCCACATCTGCCAGTCAGGTCCGCGGAAACACGTTCCACGGACAGCTTCCCACTGACGCAGCTGCTGGTTTCAGCCATTTTGGTGGTTTGGAAAGTTGGAATCATACAAAATCACGAGGGAATGACCAGGAATCTGCACATGCAAAAATTGATCTTGATGTTGTCGAAAATGCCAAGAGGACAAGTTCAGAACACATCTAGTCATCTAGCCCATTTCATGATGTCACTCTTCATCCTGGTAGGAATCGTTCATCTCTCAAGGTGGTCTTTCTCTTTGTTCAAAGCTTGTGGTTTGACATAAGCCGATCCTCTGCCGAGCGGAGAACAGTCTGTGTCACACGCTTGCTGATCCCCCCTTTCCTTGCAAGGCTGCAGCATGGGTCTGTGGAGGAGCAACGCCAACGAGTTTGCAATGGCTCCTGGCCCAACCATTGCACGTGCCCCCTCTTCCTAATTTGGTCCACTTCTCAATACAAGCACCAGGTTGGCTGCTGCCACGACCTCAACATGAACATCTGTCGCTACACCAGACCCCTCCACATCTCAAAAAGCCATGGCCAAGCTCTGCCAGGCACAGCCGGGAGGACTGGTGTCTCTGACACAAATTCCTTCAGAGTATCAAACAGCACTCGTCCACCTGCTCCATTTATTCATTTTCAAGCGTCTCTAGCTCCATTGGGTTACAGGGCTGATCGTTGCCATCTTTGTCATCGGCTTGTTGGAGACCATGTTCTTCCTCCAGGTCCAAGGAGTGAGCATCCCCACACGACAACTTCCAGAGATTCATAGGGTAACCTACGAGCTACACACAGCATGTCCGGCATGTCCAGTCACTGTCACTGCAGACCTTCACAGCTGGGCCTCGAAGCCAAGATCTCTGCTACTTTTTTTCCTCGTCCAAACCCACAGCGATCAAGCCTCTCATGGCTCCCAAGCAGAATGTGAAAGATTTGTGCTTTGCCATCTTTGCCATCCTATCCATGGCAATTCGTGCTTTGGCTTTCTGCTGCCTGGTTGTTCTCCACTTGTTGGCCATTCTCATGTAGCGAATCCTCAGTGAAATGAATCAGAAACACTATTCCACTACCAGATACTACCAGTAGGTTTTTGCAGAAGCACGGTTGGATGTCTCGAAGTCATCAAACAGGAAATGTGATTTCCGCAAATGACCGTTTGATTTGCGAATGGAGACCATCAGCATTCCCTCCAACAAGTGTGTGGATTGGCTCCTGTGGCAGCGGCGTTTCGATTTTCACTCGCGCGTCTCGAAAGGTGAGGGAGATGCATCTAGATCTAAATAGTTCATCGTCTGAAGCGCTTTTCAGACGCAGATGCAGGACCCGGATTTAGTATCGACATGTATGAACAAATATGCACATGTGAGATCAAAGCTCACCTTCTACCTCTCGTGCAGTGAATTCACAAGCGTAGAGGTTTCACTACCCGATTTATCTCGATTTATCATTTTGCAGTGTGTGTTTGAATTTGAGTGATCCAAGGGCCTCAAACAACACGGTTGGGTAGTACGCTTGGCAAAGTAAAACGAAGGATCCATAAGAATCCATCATATCCCAGTGTTTGTTGGTGATATCCCCACTGATCCCCCCCATGGCAGAGAGCCCAAGGACAGGCCAGCAGCATCCAACAGCTCTAAGGCTGAAATTAGAAATCTCTGGCCTCAAAAATCGTCGCGGTCGAACCTGCGCAACAAGCGCAGGTCGAGGGGAAGGATGTGGGGGATGTCAATGGAAGGTGTTGAAAGCTATGTTGAAACATGTTTAAGCTATGGTTTTCATTGGCGTTTCATCTCAATTGCTCTGCTCTGAATTCGGCTGCAAAATGTTTCAAGTATATGCTTAAAGTCACACTGTGTATGCCATCAGCTGCTTTGTCGAAAAAGAAGCTCTTGATCCCTCACAGAGTAAAGGAAGATAAAGGAAGTATCATGGAATTGAGTTCGTACGCAGCACCTAAAAAAAAAAGTATGAGATTGTGTGAGTTGCTTAGAAGCACTTGATATCTCAATATCAGATTCTTAACGAAGGTCTTTAAAAAAGCTCCTGCAAGGGATCTGCAGCGGCCACTGAAATTTAGCTGCCTCGCTCAAACCTTCATACTTGAGCCTGAGCCACCGGTTGACCTTGTGCGGCAGATTGGAACGGAGTGAAGGGGCTGGCATGGGCTGTTAACAGAATTTTGGCGGCTGGGTTGTCTAGGGTGCACTATGGTGCACGGCTAAAAAAATAAAAAACTATGTGATGCCAGGTGATGCCAGGTGATGCCAGGTGGCTAAAGGTCAAAGATGGCATCGGAATATCATAGCTTCCCTTCACCCGCGAGTTCGTAGGATCAAATGGGGCCTGAAGCCAAGCAGGCCAAGCAGTGAAACACTCAGCTCCCTAAGGCTTTCTCAGTGCATCATGTGCATCCACGATATCCCCCATCCACATCTATCATGTGATACATGTCCGCGCGGCATTAGCTCAACAAAGCACCCATGTTGGAAAAGTGTGCCAAAATAGGGCGCAGCATCAATGCAGTACCTGGCCTTCAAATGCAGCTTGGCAGGATGCTTCTCACCCTTATCTCCGATGTGCCACTCGCCAGCCTCCAGCCACTTGTTGGTGATCTTGGCCTCCGACCTGATCAGCAAAGCTATGCCAGCTATGCCAGCTATGCCAGCTATGCCAGCTATGCCAGGCCCTATGGTTATGTGGAGTGCTCCAAAGGTTCTTCAGACTACTCCAATCTAATATGATGAAATCTAATACAGTAAGTATTTTTTATTCTGGTGCGTGCTTTTCGCGACGTGACACATGGAGGCTTGTGGCATTGCTCATATGAATGCTCAGGCATGCTCAGGCTGTATTTGCAGTACATATTACTAGTACATATTAGTACATATCCATATATCCATATTACATGTTTTTGTAAAGCTCGCACCTCGGGCAATCCACGTAGCCATAAGCAATGCAGCTGCCGATGGTGTGACCGAATGCAGTTGAGCGAACATAACCGACGCATTCTCCATCTCTCCAAACGCTTTCAGCACCATGCAGGGGCACGTTCCCAGCTTCCAACACCAAACATACCAGCTTGCGCTGTAAACCTTCTGCACGCTGCTTCTCCAGTGCTTGGCGCCCCAAGAAGTTTGGCGCATCATCACCTGTGCGTTTCAGCTTGGACAGGACAGTGAATCCAATTCCAGCCTCCAAAGGCGTGTCGCGATTGCTGAGATCAGCATGCCAATGCCTCAAGTTCTTCTCAGCAGACAAGCTGTCAATGGCTCTATACCCGGCATCCCGAACAGGGACACACTCGGTCTGTGAGAGCATCTCACCCGCCTCCCGCACAGCACGGTAGACTGAAACCGCTGAGTCCGATGGAACGTGAAGCTCAAAGCCCAACTCGCCAACAAAAGTCAGCCGCAGAGACAACAAGCGGCAGCCTGCAATGTTCAACCACCTCGCAGAGGAGAACGGAAAGGCTTCATTGTCCATGTCGACATCTGTAAGTGACTGCAGAAGCTTCCGGCTGTATGGGCCCTGGACTGACATCAGAGTCATGGAATCGCTGTCATCATCAATCTTTGCCTTGAAATGGTTGTCTTCCAGAACCTGGCGAATCCATGCCAGGTCTTTCGTTGCTGTATTTCCCCCCGCAGCAAAATAGTAGTAGTTGCTTCCATCGGCATCTTTCAATTTGGTGACAGTCAGATCTGCCTCAACACCTCCTCGAGAGTTGCACAGGGGTGTGTAGGTCACGGATCCAAGTTGTTTTCCTTCCATATCAGCACCACACAAATACTGCACTGCTTGGTCCGCCTCTTCTCCACGCAAGAAGAACTTCCCAAAATAGGACTGGTCAAAAAATGCTACACCCTCACGAGCTGCACGACATTCCTCTGCAACGGTGCTATGACTGGCTGGCCAATCAAAAGTAAGCTCTCCTTCGACCAAATCCAAGTATTTGTGTTCTGGATGCTTTGGGACGTCTGGGTGGTCTTGTTGGCCCAATCTCCAGGCGCCTTCCTCATAGGCACCATAGTAGTCATAACTTTTGGGTTCCTGCAATCCCGGCAGCGATGTTTCAAACCAGCCCGGGCGCTCGAAGCCATGTCTAGCTTGATAAACACAGCCGCGGCTCAGCAACTCATCATACAAAGCCGACTTGCGACTCCCACGACCAGCCAGGGCCTCATCGTGCGGGAAGACGATGGCATAAGTCTTGGCATAACTCTCATGCGTCCTGTCTTTCACCCAAGCATCATCTCTGACACTGGTGGGATGGAAACGCGCACAATCGAAGCTGAAGAGATCGACTTCTGGAGACCCTGTGAGAATCCACTTGGTCATTTCCCTGCCAACCCCACCTCCCAGCATCAAGCCCATAGAGTTGAAACCACAAGCTAAGAAGAAACCTTGAAGACCAGGAAATGGACCCATCAGCGGCTTGTGGTCTGGGGTGAAGGATTCGGGACCGCAAACTGTGGACTTGATTCCAGTTTCTTCGATCACAGGGCAACGTTGCATGTGGCCCGCCAAGTTCTGTCCGAAGGTGTCATAATCGAGCTCAAACAGGCCGAAGGCAAATTGAGGATCGACATCTGGCCAAAACTCGGGATTTTGTTCATAGCCGCCAATTGCCATGGAGTCTCCTTGTGTCTTGAGGTAAACCGACAAATCATGATCTCTCACATTAGGCAGTCCGCTATGCATCCCTTCAATAGGCTCTGTCAAGACCATGGCGTGCTTCATGGCTTTCAAAGGAATCTGTACATCTACCATCCTTGCAATCTCGTTGGCCCAAGCACCACATGCATTGACCACTGTGGGCGTCTGGATTCTTTGCCCACAGGCGGTCAGAACTGCTTGGATCCGCCGAGAATTGGCACCGCCCAAGGTCTTGTAGTCTTCCACCTCAATGCCGCTCACCTCATCGGCAAAAGACTTTGCAGCAAAATCAGAAATGAGATGTGATTTTTCACTTGATCTGCACTTGCGTATGAGAGTCTTGCCTGGAAATGTGTTGTTATAATATGTTATAATAGATATTCATATATATTATGATATGATACATCTGATATCTGATCTGATATCGTAAAGAATGTCATCAAGATGTAAGATGATTTCAGTCCAAGTTGCAGCCACATTCTCATAAACTCCCCCTCCATACTTCTTCGCTGCCTTGGCATAGGCGTTGCAAATGCTGGTGGGGTCGATGGTGCCATCGCCCGGCGAATAAACACCTCCATAGATGTCATCCACTCTGAGCAGCGGGTGCACTTTCTTCACTTCTGATGGCGACAGAACATGGCTTTCCTCGGCAGGGTCAGGCAAGCTCTGGAAGCAGGAAACAAGTTTGGCATAGTTTGGCATAGTTTGCTTTGATGAGTTTGATACCTCCAATTCAAGCTGAGGACTGTTTCAGCTGAGATTCTATGCCAAAATACTTGCCGGTTTCTGCAAACCGCTTGTACTCTGCGAGCCGCTCTGCATTGGTGCCAACAAACAGGCCACCATTCTCAGTCCAGCTGGCAATGTCTGTTTCCTGCTCGAGTTGTTTGCACATTTCACCTTAGACAGGAGTGAGCAAGGCATAAGAAGTGGATTGCTTCAACTGTTGACGATCGTGTAGGAACTTGTCAACCCACAAGAGATTCTGGTGGATTCGATGGGTTTGATTCCAGTTCGAGGATACGAACGTGTTTAAATCACATCGTGCAATCCAATGCAACATGTTTCCGCTATTGTCTTCGTTCAACATGGTGAAACTTGTTAAATAATGTTAAATACACTAGGATCTGGCACTTCATGAGTTCTTGGTCGCCAACGGGAGTAGGCGTTCAGCTCAATGTCGGCATCTGTGGGTCGCAAGCGCCAAAGCATCCCGGCTGAATGCCAGGTCCTCAATGCTGCTACGGGAGCTTGCCCTCGACTCTGGAAGTTCTAAAAACTTGTTGATTACATTTCTCGGATTCCTGGGGAGGAAAAACAGGCTACACAGCGGTTGATCCACCAAGGACTGCACGTGCCAGCTGTGAGCTGGTGCCGTTCAAGCAGGACAGCATTCACTCCCTGCACACAATGGATCTCTGATGCGACTTGGGTTTCCTTGTCATCCTCTTCAGTAAGTCATTTGAACCCTGAAGAACATCTTTCCCTCAAAGTCAGAATATGTCAGAATAGTCAGACTTGCACCCAGCCGTGCCTCCTTTCGCAAGTGGTACAACGTGGACCTTGGAGCCATGGCAGCCATGGATTCGATGTGTCCAACGAGGAGCAGCTGCCACTGAGGTTCCTGGCGTTCCAATGGAGCCACCACCGATGATCACAACATCGGCCTGCGAGGGCAGATCCTGTGAGCCTCGGCCGGCGAGTTTTTCTGGGTGCTTAAAACGAGAGCCTCCATAATGAAGGCTTCAAATATGGAAGTGTCCTACCCCCAAATCATCCAAAATTAATCAAAATTGGACAATTTGAGTAGTGAAACCCATGGTTTTGGTAATTCCCATTTGAAGAAAGCCCATATGAGAAGCGCTGAACTTGGGCTCTGGCTGGCGGAAGAGTGCCACCTTGGCCCCACAAACCAGCTGATTGCAATTCAGTTGTGTGAAGATCCACAGTTCATCCAAGTGCAGCCCTTTTCATCGGTGCAAAAAATGATTTTCTGTTTCCTTCATGACCTCATAGTACCTGGATCTAGGTCCTAGACCTCTAGTCACTATAGTGGGGCTCAGTGTGACGCATTGACTACGTTGCAGGCAACTGGGATCGCTCGGAGGTTCGGGATGTTTAAGGCAAAACGATCTTGTCCGTTCAATTTCTTGAACCTGGATATATAGTATATTATATTATATATATAAATAAATATATATAAATCCACCGTGCTACGGCGATTAACATCTAAAGATTCACCCCCTTTTTAGATTGTTTTGCACAGATCAGAGTCTCGCCAAGGGACTTTGTGGCAGAAGCTCTGGACAACCTCGAGGCCAAAGTTCGACCAGCTCGGGGAAGGCGACACTGGAGGGAAGCCATGTCTGGCAGCAAATTTGCAAAGGGGATCTCTGGAGTGGAGATGTTTCATCTCTCGTTTGGTAGTTAAAACGTGCTAAAACTGTGCAAGGGTACGCTAGAGTGTCATACTTCCGGCCCTGGGTCATGAACCAAATCATGTCGTCTCTTGGTGCGACTATCGAATGCTTGCTCTACTCCACCCAACCCTGCGCCAGAGAAATCATGTGAGACAAATTTAGTTGTTCAATTTGTTTATGTTTGTTTATGTATACAAGTGTGATTTGTATCTTCAGGCATGGCTCAGTTTGATCATCCAAAGTAAATCATGTGCCAACAACCCTTCCACGGACATTGAGTATTTCAAATGATTCCATATTGTTCCTTTCCAAATCCCCCACATCAGTGGGATCCCAGCTGCCTTGGGACAGAGAAGAACCTGCCTACGTATCAGTTCAGCTACCTTGAGCAACCAGGTGCGGACCAGATCTTGCTGGTACCTGATGAACTTCAAACATCACTGAAGCATTTTGTATTGTGCTTAGCTTAGTGAGTCACCATGTCACAAGAGCTCTACGACATTCTTATATTCTGCATGTGTAATGAAGAGTTCGCTTCGCGCAGCCTTTTGAATCTCTGCAATGCTCCATCGCTATGAGTGTGCGTGCTCCTTTCATACTTCCAGCCGCGTAACCTAAAGGAGACTTGCCCAAGTCATCCTGCAGATTTACATCAGCCAATGCATGCAGAAGAATCCGCACAACTGGCAGGTGCGCATCCTCCACAAACTCAATCTTTTCCGAGGTAGCATCCCGTTCCTTAGAGTCGCAGTTATATCCGATAATTACCAAGAAAACAAAGGACGGAAGCGAACGGTCATCTTGCAAAAAAAACAGGCTGCTTTGAAAAGAATTTGGTGCTGTTTAGTCTCGATTAGACCAAGGGTTGACAGGTGCAAAGGTGTCCGTCCAGCAGCATCCACGGAATCCACATCGGCCGAAGCTTTCAGCAAACAAGTGACAACGTCTTCGTGTCCACGCATGGCTGCATGATGAAGAGCCATGCGTCCTTTGGTGTCTTGAAGATTTAGAGCAGATTGGTGGCAGAGGAGTTGCACCACAGCTGAATGTCCATTCCTTGCTGATAGCATCAGTGCTGAGAAGCCCTTGGCATTTTGTGCGTCAATGTGGGCATTGTGTTGCAGCAACACCTCCACGACCATAATGTGGCCAAATTCTGCTGCCACCTCAAAAGTCTCAACGCTTGCGCACCAGATGAGAAAGTTGGTGCAACAGTGATTTGTAGATGAATCATCGGTTACCAAATCATCTCTAAAGTTTGTGAGGTTGGCAAGACTTGAAAAAAGCCACGGTAGCATGGGATAAAGGGCAAAGGACCAAACCTTGCAGACCCGGACCTCTTAAAGACCCTGCATAAAATGCTGACACCCGGCTTTGATCGAGAAAACCCTTTCTGCACCTTCCTGGCTGGTCATCAAAATGTATGAGTTTGCTTCTCAAAATGACAAAAGAAGAGTACGAAGTTGTGCGCTAGTTGGTCTAGCATTTGACTTTTCAACCTCTGTCAGATCTGTCAGGTTAGTTCTTCCCCAATTGTTGATCTCCACCTGCAGAGCTTCAGATCCATCACCATCCATCTGCCGGCAGTCAGCGCTGTGACACAAGAGCCATCGAAGGACGTCAACACGCCCACATCTGGAGGCCTCATGAAGCGCTGTACTGCCACTCACCCTGCTAGCCTGCAGGAGACCTGACACCAAAGAGAAAGCGTTTCAGGGCTCCGGGACTTCCAGAAAGAAGAAGGTAAAACCGGAGACGTATTTTGAACAGTTCGGCTGAATACCCAGCAAATCTCTCTGTTGTTTCAAAAGGGTAGCAAAAAGCAGACAACTACATGCAAAATCATAATTGGGCCATAGGCCATAGGCGAGAAACTGGTGATACCCTCGTTCCACAGATGCGAAAGTATGTGGACATGCCCACTGCGAGCTGCTGCGATGGCTATGGATGGAGCATCTTTCAGCGTCGCGTCGCGGTGCAGGCGAAGCCGCTGCAGGAGCAGTTCCAGAATCTCCTTCCTGCCAGAGCGCGCGGCCAAAGAAAGGGCTGGTAGCGATACCTCGAAGTCCATGCCTGTCAGTCGAGCTGCATCGCCATCCTGAAAGCAGAGTTTGGGAGCTTGAAAATTCATGAAAAAATCATATGCAAAAGATAGGTGGATAATGGTGGATAGATGGATAGATAATAACTAATATATACAATACATATATATATAATTATATATATAATTATGTATATATATAGCTATTAGATTCTGTTATATTCCGTTGGATTCTTAGAATTTCTTAGATGTCATCAATCACGATCAGACAGACCTGGCCACAACTTGTGTCCCGCTGAGTCTCTGCGATGGCATGCATCTCTGGAGCCCACAATCCGGAGCCACCCTTCTCCCAACCAGCCGCCACGACCACATCGTCCAGGTTCCATGTGGCGTGCCACCTGCAGTTTTTGCGTGCAAAGCAAAAACTGCTGAACTTGAAACATGGACCAAAAAATACCAAAAAAACACAAATGTGTCTTGTGCACTATGAGAAGGTCACATTATGTCACATTGACAAAATCGGATCCATTCAGATCAGTTTCCATCCAGCTGGCACAAAGACAACCTCACCAGGATGTGCCACGCCACAAATCAAGTGCTTCGGTTTCTGTGTCAGGTACTGCCAGGGGGGCCGTTCAGCTGGTCGCTTGCCACCTTGTTTTTTTTCCATTTGTGCCATGCCCAAAACGTGGGATTGATGGGGGATGGTCATCCCGCCCTCATTGGGGATTCCCTCCAATGGTTCAATCAATAGACATTATTTTATGATATATATATTATTATGTATACAATGTGTACATCCCGATGCAAATGGATGACGACCATTCTCAAAAAAATGTAAAAAAAATCCATGTTTGCCAATCATTTTGACAATTTTGAAATGGAAGACCATTGCCCTGTACTTCTTCAGGACCATGGATGCTTCATAAATCTTTACAATCACCAAATGGTGAAGAAAGGGAATCATATCCTGTCAACTTGTTCAAACCTCCCAGCAGACCTGGAACCAACAGCCATAGTTTCCGGCCCTGCAGTTGAGCAAGCCATGCAGCACTGTGTCGATGAAATCCAACACCGGTGTCTTTACGACCAACGCTGAAAATGGGCGCCCCATGAATTCCAGCCAGAAGCTCTGGGACGGCAAAACCATCCAGTATTTCAAGCCGTTCAGCATCAAAGTCATTCTCGAACAATACAAACTTCCTGTTGAAGGTATCTGAGGTTAGGTATTCCTCCAACGAAACAAATCGCTCTGCTGGGCCTGCATAACCATAGTGATGGAGAGATGTACAAGGGCGCAAGCGGAATTTCAAGTGTCCAAAATTCTGGATCCAGTGTTCTTGAGACCACCTCCAAGCTTTCCAGTGGTCAATAAGACCCCCCAGCCGTTGTGCCAAGTTGAGGTTCAAATCTTTGCTTGGCGTAGCATTCAGTGCCAATGTCTGCTCATGGCTCAAAGCTTCAAGCTCTGCAGCTGTTGGTCTTGGCCACTGCTGTGCCGCCTGAGATCGACGGGTTTGTTGAGGCCTTCTAGACATTGATTTCTTGGACTTCGGCAGAACAGTACCAAGGGTGCACAGCATCCCACAAGCTGCGGCACTTGCATGGTTTGTTCCGTGTGTACAGCGTGCCGGGCGTGCAGCTGCCAAACGCTGTCTGGATACAAGCGTCACCCCGTGGGTCAACTGGCTCTCAACGCTCTCATGTGTGACATGCCGCAGCGGCCTGACAGTTGAGTCGCCAAGCTGCATCGACCGGCGAAGAAAGGAACTGTGCTAAGGAGAGGATCAAGGCAAATTGCATCTGAAGATTCAGTGGTCTGTTTGATTGCCACGTGGCTGCAGAGTGGTCGAAACACAATCTAAAATCCATCAGCGCTTTTTCATACTGCAAGTGCCTAGCCAGGCTCAACTTGCGTTCGCAGCAATCCCGTGGAAATTGAATGCAGAAGTACTTCGGTCTCATGATTCCAATAGTCATTATATAAGTCTCCAGCAGCTTCCCTCGCAGCTTCAACTGCTTGCAGTATCTGCGCGTGCGCGAGATGACTTATATATCTTCCACAAGGTTATGTGAATTGCTTCACCAAAAGCCCCTCTATAAAGGCTTGTTGAGGCAATATTTCTGGCACGACCCGGATGTATCAAGATTATACTACTCTATACATCTCTATACCATTTACGTACAACCTTACAAAATTGACAAGTTTGACACATCACCAGTTGTACAGCTCCTCCAGCAACACATCGTGCGCCTCTGCAGCATGTTTGACTGCGAGCTGCTTGGGCCTGAGACTTGCCCAGTACCATCTGCCGTAGTCCACGAAAAGCTCCTGCCGTGCTCTGCTCAAATCCTGAAATCTGATGAAAGCTGCTGCTATTGCAATGGTGATATGTTATGATAGGTTCATCTATTTTATCTTTCCATATTTTTCCATAGCTACCATGGATTTTCTGTGCTCTGTCGCCCAGCCTCTCCAGCTGAAATGGGTCGCACTGCTACAACCATGGCACGGCCTTCCCCAGGTCTTTTTTCAAACCGGACATTGTACACCTTGGTGCGGTCTTGGTGACGCTTCGTGGACGCTTCGTGCGGTCACCAGAAAACAACCGCCATGAAACGCCGGCCATCACGGCCATCACGGTCAGCTCTGAGACGGCCGCTGCAGGATTGCGGCAGTCATTGATGAAGCGGGCCAGCACTTCCAACTCTTCCCGTGCATCGATGTACTCCTTTGCAGAGAAGCACTTGCTGCAAAAGGACTTGAAACACATGAAAGCTGTCCTGCGGCCCAATGCGCATCAAATAGGACTTGTTTTCTAAACGCATGGCCTCAAGAAGGGCATGTCAATCGTTCCGGATGTGATCCGCACGTGCGGTTCCGGCACAACGAAATGCACACGCATGGTACAGTGTTGTCCAAAAAATAGGGTGGACCCAAGAATCCGATGGATTCCTATGGTTGATCATCACATATCATCACTTTCCCCAGATTCCCCAGTAAAACTTCCATCAATTGGGGGTCCGCTTATGTTGACAGCTGCACCTCGGAGGTGCACAAAAGCCTCCCACGATACTCGCACAGCACTTCTCCAGGAGACACGGCCTCCCAAGCCGGGTTTCCAGGCGCTTTCCAGAACCTCATTATTCTCCATCATTCTCTCCATCATTCTCAATTCTTCTGCATCATTCTCTCAATTTTGCTCCATCATTCCCAAATTCCCCAGAACTGGAGCAGTTTTCCAAAGGTGTTCGACTGCACCGACCTGGAGCACGAATAGACCGTTCCCAGCATCTTCGCCTGGCCGCGGATCCGTGGGACTATTCCACCAGAGTCTCCTTTGATTCGTAGAACAATGAGATGATCTTCCTTGAAAGTGATTACTGTATGTATCTGTATCTATATATTACAGTATATATTGATCTAGATTCTAGATCCACCTAGATTCATCTGGGTCTCTACATGTCTCTACAATCAATTGTATGCATGGTTTGTATCAGTCTATACCACTCACTTGTTCCATCGTGTTCCCAATCTCCCAGCGAAGCTGAGCTGCTCCGGGCCTAGGAGTGAAGGTCTGACCTCCAAAGGCACAGGGCTCACCGCCACCGCATGGCTCATCACCTGAGCCCAAACCATGCGGAGCTGCGAAGGACCTGACCTGTTTAGCTGGGAAACCGGCGGGCCACAAGACGGAACGTCAGGAGTACAAGCCATGGCAGCGCCGGCCCTCCGTTTGGATGCCACTTTCTCGAGCTGGCTTTGATGTCTAGATTGTGAATGAAAAAAATGAAAATTTGGGGGTTTCAGGGCGTGGGGGTTTGTATGTTAGTTGGTAGGTTGTTATGTTATTGCCTAACATTGTAATTCTAAATTTTTGACTGTTTCTTTTTGTTCGGGGGGGCATAATGTTTCGTTGAGGTTGTTGTGATAATGTTTGGTTCAGATGAGGGGGATAATTGTTTAGACTGTTGGGGTTTTACTGTTGGGGTTTGGTTTCATATTCCCATAATTCCTGTTTCATCATCTTCATTTCGTATCACTTTTGGTTGCCCTTGTCCTTTCAGTTTGATTTGATGTTTGATACTTTGTTCGTGTCTGCTCATCGTATATTTTCTTACCAAACATTTACACAAGGGACATTCGGTTTTAACATGTTGTTTTCGGTTCAGTTCTTCCTTCTTTCTTTCATAGTATTCTTTGGCATATTGTTTTACTGCCTCTTTGTGTTGTTCCCTGTATCTCCTTTTGCTTTCCAAACATATATTGCATTGCCTACATTCATCTCTGTAATAGTTTAACGGTTGAAAGACTTTACATTTAGAACACTGCTTTTTGTCAGTCATTATACCTCTACAAGTTTAAGGGGTTATGTTTTTAAGGGGTTTTTAGGGTGGATTACTTCATAATATATTTTATTAAGATATTATGAATTAATCATCAGGTTTAATGTCTCCACTTTTCATCACCAGTACCTATTCCATCCCAACATTGAGAAACAATCGTTTTGTTGTTGTAGAACACTAAAATGATTGTGTCTCTATCAAGTCTTCGTTGTTGAATTAAATGTTTCAATACTGTTAATAGTGTATAATAGTTTTGTTGTAATGCTGTTATTCCTCCTCTGCTGTGTATCCTCTCACCGTGTTGTTTGATTAAGTCTTTATCAAATATGTTTTCATAAATTTCTTTCATAAGGTCGTGGTTTATCTCTCCATACTCTGCGTATTGCTCCAAAGATTGTTTTTGCTTAAGTATTAGGTCATATTCTATAAACTTATAATCAGGATATGGATTTTCTTTTATGAAATTTATTAATCCTTCTCTATCTCTTTTCAGTTCCTCTTCACTAACTCCAATCATTGGCATTTTCTCTTACTATATATATAGGTATTTTTTCTTTAAGTAATTTTGATGTCTTGTTCATTTATGCTTTCCACTTTCCTATTCCATCCCACCAGTGTTCAATTACTCTCATTTGTGTTAAGCACGGTTTGTTTGTATCGTTTAGTTCATCCATCGCTATTGATAAAAGAGTTATATTAATAATCATTGCGTTGAATTCACCATCGCGGTTAAGTTCCTTTCCACAGTCAATGATTACTTGTTTTCTCAGTTAAGTTTTCATACATCTTTTTCATAATGTTAAATCTTACGAACGAATATATTATCATTCCATTTACTCCTTCATTATCTTTCATCCTATCAATTACTTTCTTCCAAAATTTTTATCCTTCCTCTTCATCGGGTGAAGGCATAGGATCACACCTTACAAAGTCTCTAATCTCTTCATTTTCTTTTTCTATTGCTTGTCTATCACATTCGTGTTCATCTTCACTATCACTACCAAAGTCAGCATATATACCAATATTCCCTGTATCTATAACCTCAATTTTTGCTCTACTCATTTTCTCTTACTATATATAGGTATTTTTTCTTTAAGTAATTTTGTGGTCTCTTTCAGTTTTCGGGCTCAGGTTGTTTTTCTTCATTCTTTATCTCTTCTATCATCCTTCTAATTTTGTCTATACCGTGTTCTCTGTCAAATCCTTCCATTACATTTCTCACTTTTTCCAAACCGATATGCCTTTCAATCTCTTCGTCTGTCATTTGTCGGAATTGTTCTTTATATTCTTCATCATACTCTTCTTCGTCTTCATCTTCATAGTTCATAAACATTTCCATTCGTTGCTTTTCCATTTCCATAAGTTTGTTTTCCATCTGTTGGAATTTCATTTGCTTCTTGTAGCAATTGCCACAAACATTCACGAAGGTTTTGAGCAAGTAGTTCCAATTAGGTTGCTTTCTATCGTTCAGGGTTATAACATCTGTCATTATACGACATCCACAGTCAAATTTCGTCATCTTATTTAGTCTTACTATATATAGGTATTTTTTCTTTAAGTATTTTTTTTTCGTTGATAATTTTAAAAATCTAATATTATAATATATGGCAAGGAGACTATCAAGAGATGACATCATAAGCAATGTCTATTACAATCTTGAAACGGGCTTCGGCTCAATCAATGAGACCCTCAAGAAAGCCAAGGAACAAGACCAGACCATCAACAGGGTGGATGTGGAAAACTTTATGAGGAAACAGCCCAACAAACAGATTAGAAAATACAGGGGGTCAAACTCCTACACCGCACCCTTCGCAAGGTTTGAATATCAAATTGACATAATGGATATGAAACCCCTAACTAAAGAACCAGAGACGAAAATTCCCATCAAGAACGACGAACCGAGATACGGGTTGGTGGTCATTGACATCTTCAGCAAGTTGGCAAACGTCGTCCCTATGAAAGAAAAATCCGGACTAATCACATTGTCGGCGATGAAAGAGAGTTTCAACAAAATGGGTTTTCCAATGTCCGTTTATAGCGATAATGACCGTGCCTTCCAAGCAGGGGTAAAAGACTTTTTTGAGAAAGAAGGCATCACTCACGTCGTCACCCTAACTCACGCTACTGTTGTGGAGCGGTTCATAAGGACAATGAAAAATATGATACACGATAGAGTTAGGTTTAATCGGGGTAGTTGGACTGTGATGTTGTCCAAAGCGTTAGATAAATACAACGACACCGTCCATTCATCAACCAAAATGAAACCAAAGGACGCCCACGACGACAAGAACCATATGGACGTCAGGGTGAATTTGACAAGGAGGGAAAAGAACACTCGCAAATATCCAGAGGTCAAAGTGAATGATATGGTCAAGGTCTTTGAGAAGAAAAAAGACAACTACACCGAGAGGAAGGAGTATAACTCAAAATGGAGCAATCAATCCTACAAAATCGTCAAGATAGAATACGATGATGTCGGAAACAGAACCTTCAAACTGGACAAACCGTATTTGAGGCACGAGATTTTGAAAGTATGAAAAATTATCTATAATATTGATATATGACAGAGGTAGTCGTAAAAGAGATTGATAATGAAGAACCCAAGGAAGAAACAATACCAGAGCCAACACAGGAAGAAGCACCGAAGGAAGAGGAGAAACCAGAAGAAATAATTGAACAACCCGTTCAAGAGAAACCACAACCAGCGCCAAAGCCCAAAAGGGTAAGACCGTCAAGGGCGAAACCACCTTTTGACCCAGAGGCATTCAAAAACGACCTTGTAAAACAACTGAAGGAAGAACTACAGAGTGCAATGACCGCCAGAGACACCTACAACAAAGCCAAAGAGGAAAAGAACAAAGCGACGAGAGAGAAATTGAAATCTTTAGCATCAAAATTTTTGTAAAGTATTATATATATATAATATGAACATCAAGGAACAGAAAACGGAACTCAGCAAAACAGACATCTACGAAAACGTCCGCAAGGACATCAACAGAAGACAAACCGTCCATTCAAACAAAAGTGCCAACTACAGGAGCGGAACGCCCGAAATGCCAGACAGAAGAAAAAAGTGTATAGTAGTTATGACCACTACTACCACAACGACAGCAACACGGCAAGGATGCCAACTCACAACCATCATCTTTACCTGAAGCGTCTTCTTGAATATCACAACACCGAGCACGACTACAAGGTCTTACAAGTAAAGCAGAGGATGAAGGAAGAGAATGAGATGCTACAGAACGAAATGACAAGGTTGAGGGAGGTGAGGAAGAATCACAGATTGGAAGATTACGGGGCGAACGTCCAGAATATGAAACAGAGAATTGATGAATACAAACAGTGGTTGAGAGGCGATACACAAGATTAATATAAAAATCTAAGGTATTGATATATAGCAATGACAGCAGAAGTAATCAACGCAAAACAGGGATTGACACGAATACCCACTTACGCAGAACTCATCAAGGAAATAGACAGGGAAAAGTTTAAAACCAATGACATCAGAAAAATCTTTGATAGGAACGCTTGGTATTTTCACGAAAGTCCGCAGGGTCAAGCACTGAACACAAACAACATCCACCCAGCAGACTTACAGCAAATGAACTTCAAAAAGATGGCAGAGGAAGCGACCGCAAGGAAGGAAGAAGAAACACCCAACCTTGACTTTGAAGATATGACCGACTTGAGGGACGACGCCATCAGCAACTTTGAGATGTCCTTTGACAGAGAGGCAGAGTTGAGGGAAGAGAACGAAAGGAGAGTAGCAGAACAGGCAAACTTAAGTCATTCACAAGACCACTATATGGCAAACAAAGGGGCATACGACGCCGTCGGAGCAACAGCATCGGCAGGGATACACGAGGACGAAGAACCGCCTTCAAGCAGTAGAAGCATCTTAAAGAAATTCCTTAAATCATCCAAACCAGTCATCAAAGCAGTCGCCACAGCAGGAGGAACAGCAAAGGGAGGGTCAATAGGAGGACTAATAGCATCAAAACTGACAGACGCCATCATACCCGACGAAGACGAGGAAGAGAAACCGTCCAAGATAAAACCAACACAAAAACTAATCAACAAACAAGTCAAAAAGGTACAGTAAATCACCAAAAGAAGTTAAAGGAGGAAAAATCAAAGATGAACGTGGATGTAGTGCCCGATGTCAATGAACCAATGGATACAACAGCAATACCAACAGCAGAAAAGAGGAAACCCTTAAGCGTGAGACAGTCCAAAGCAAAGAGACAGAAACCAAAACCGCCAACGCAGGAG